ATCATGTTATACATTATGCAAGGCAATAAATGGGCCTGAAAAATGATGTATCAATGGTCCTCCAACTTTGGTTAATTTCCACTAATTATATATTCCCAAGAGAACACACAATTACTTCTACATTGAAGAGGATAGTCTTAGATTCAAGGATAGCAAAAATGAGAAGGAGATGGATCATTTTAGTTATTTCAAAATGTCCAGCTGGCCAGCTAGCATGGCAGAGCTGTAAGATTTCTTTTCTCAAAGAAGGAATGCATACCCTGTTATTGTGGCTCAATTGTCCCTATTCCCAAGAAAGGGAGATAAAGGACAAAAAGTTCCTCTGAAGTTGTCATCACATACAAGTTTTGCTATCACCAAGGCTAGATTCAACCAATTTGGGAAGTTCGAAAGGAAGGCCCTGATTGGAGGAGGGAAAATTTTCTGGGTGAATAGCATAAGGGCAAGAAATATTCTGGCTTACATGATAAAGCATCAGCTTGTTTCTTCTCCAAGGGTAAAATACAAATGAGAAAATTGGAAAAGAATTGTGCTCACCTAACCCTGCACTTAGAAAATTGTGAGAAGTCTGTATGTGTTCAAAATTTCTATGGACAATTGAAAATTCAGCAGGATTTTCATACCATTGTGATACTGCCAATATTGAAAGGTATCTCCATGTTAAAAACAGAATAATTGTGTTTGGGTAAAAGTAGCTGTCAAGAAAAAAAATGCACAGGGAAGCTAATGATCACCCAACTTTGGAACAGACTGTAAAAGCATTGCAAACTCGTAAGTGTCAGTTTGAATTATAAAGGGCTGTTTTATGGTAGCAAAGACTCATGTTACATTTTCATTCACCATATTCTGAAGCACCATTTGGAGATGGCATCTAAAGTGTCTCATGGCCCTATTATATTCATATATAAGTCACCAGCACAAACTTGCTAGGGACAGGGAAGAAATCTCCAAGATTACTTTTAAGTGGCGATGGCAATCATAATTACTATACATGAACTTTGCCTATTCTATTCTATTCTATTCTATTCTATTCTATTCTATTCTATTCTATTCTATTCTATTCTATTCTATTCTATTCTATTCTATTCTATTCTATTCCATTCCATTCCATTCCATTCCATTCCATTCCATATACTTTTGGTTTTGAGAGGATAATTTTAAACATGGAGTGGTCTTCCTTTTAGATAAACATGGTAATAAAAAATCCATCTATATTATATTTTAAATATATAACAGCTATGGTTGTTCAACCATGTCAAAACAATTAATAGTATATTATATTGAGCAAATGAATCTATGCACTGATTAGTGTACAAATTTGATTGAACTGAGGACTTTAATCTGAAAGTTTTTAGCAAAAAAAAACATGATAACATTATATTCACTAATACATTAATACTAAGGACTGTGTGCTTTTGTAATAGAATGAAAATAACTTTATAGGCAGCGAGTCATTAAGTTCCTCTGATTTTCAATCTCTAACGCAGAGCAAAATACTAAAGGGAATTTTATCAGGCAATATTAAAGCCATCAAAAATATAAATCTTCTTTAACAATGTTTGCATTGTATTTTAACACCTGAAAAATATCTGTCTTTTATACTAATTTGAAAACATAGTCAAATTCTTCCAATTATTTCTATCTCTAGACACAATAATGGTCTACCTCTGAAGAAAGTGATTGTTTTAATATTATAAAGATATAAAATTAAATTGACAAGTTATTTTACTGAAGTATAATCTCTTCAGCATTGTTCTGCTCTTGCGAAACGGGATACAAAGCTGTTCAATGCAGGCCTTACACATACCTTTTATCAAAGTGAATAATCCCTCTTGAAGATTTGTGTGGCCTTCATAAATGTTCTTGTTTTATGTTATGAATATCTTCTTTACATATAGATTCAAATATTGGCATCAACACTTGAGAAAGAAATAACTTCCAAAATAAAAATAAGGGGGAAAAGATTGGTTAGAAGATGGGCAAATATAGATAGATAGATAGATAGATAGATAGATAGATAGATAGATAGATAGATAGATAGATAAGCAAGCCTCCTATTGTTTAGACTGTAATTTCATGCACTAGAATTGCAAAGAAAACAGAACATGATGAAACTGAATTGTAAGCCCCCAGAGTTATCCATCTGAGTATAAGTACTGTATATATTTAAACTTATATGTATATAGGTTTGTTTAATAAATAAATAATAAAAATAAATTGAATATAATACATTGTGTTATGTAATATGGCTGATTTTACAGATTGGCAGTTTCATATGTTAATGCTGTGCCAATCTGGGATTGGCAGCATGCCCTTTTACTTGCACAATACCATGGATTTCATGTCATTTCTATAACTGAACCTATTAAGTTCTTTCTACGTTGCTGAAAGATATTTTGTAAAGCACAAACTGCTTTACAAATGCTTGTCTTATATATTTCCTTGGATTCCACCTTTCTTACTTGAATTAAGGCACCACCTCCCATTCTGGATTGATTTGAAAAACACTTTTGACTTTATTTTTTTCTTTACATGGCATCTCATATATTGAGACAATGTTGAGGATGGAACAGGGCAAAACTGTTCTTAATTAACCCAAAGGTGCTTTTTCAGGAGGCAACTGGACTTTCTTGTTTTTTCTTTGAAGACTTTTTGCTTCTCATCCAAGAAGCTTTTTCAGCCCTGACAGGATAGTGGGGAATGGAAGGATTTATATTACTTGCAGACAGCTAGACATTTGCATCCTTTAGAGGGTCGTTGAAACACTTGGAGGTTTATCTGTGTCCTTAGGGTCACCTGAGTAGTGCTCCTGGTTACTGTAGTCTGCAATTTTTCCTCTGGAAATCCATTCCTATTCCTACACCATAAAAATATGCAAATTACCAGCTGTCTGCAAGGAATATAAATCCTTCCATTCGCCACTATCCTGTCAGAGCTGAAGAAGCTTCTTGGATGAGAAGCGAAACGTCTACAAAGAAAAAATGAGAAAGTCCAGTTGCCTCCTGAAAAAGCACCTTTGGGACAACCCTGACCTGGGTGACTGAGAATCTCTACAGACTTTTTGCTCTTAATTAACTTTCATTTGGCCTGCTGGAAATTTGTCTGTTTTTGAGGCCTCAATAGTGAAGACACTCATAAGACAACAAAAATATTTTAGGTTTTATGGGTAAAAATGGAGTGCATATGAAGGTACACAGAGAAGGCTCTGGATATAGAAATACATTTTTAAAATATATATTTAAAAAGATCATGATTCAATCCACGGGATTTCTCAGCTAAAATGAGATATATTTTGAAACCCTAGAGAACTGCTGCAACAATTCTTTGCATAAGCTGTATCCTGTATATCCAGCATATAGGATGCTGGAGAGAAATTATTGATATGTCTTAGCCAATATGACAGAGTAGAAAAGGTGACATAATACATAATATTCCACCAGTCACTACATCCTGGGTAGTGACACTGAGAGCAAGAAACTCTCTACACATTGCAATAACATTGACAAAAATACCAGTAACCATTACCGCTTTGTGCAAAGTAATATCAGATATTTATTTCTTTGCATTTTCCATTTTCACATTATTCTCATAATGTATGAAGTAGTTGAAACTTTCCAACAAAACAAAGAAATTAGTTTAGAATTCTAGTAAGGCTGAGTATGTAAAAAAAAAACTACTGTACATGGGTAAAGGTGATGAGAACTGGACATGTTTTACCCATTCCCTCAGACACTTTAGCCACCCAGATAACTATAAAAGCTTAAATTTCTTGTACATTACTACTAAGAGACAGTTATTTCATTTTTTTCTATAAGGAAAGACCATAACAAACCATTTTAAATGATAATGCTGGAATAGATATATAATATTACAGCTATGTACATTGTTCAGACTACCAGTGTAACTACCAAAACAATAATAAAACAGAAAATGTTCTTATTGTTCTGATTTATGCCTTTGATATAAATGCATAGTTTAAATGGATCATGCCTAATAGTTATAATAATCATCTCTACCTTCTTCTTCCTTTAAGTTTCAGAACAAAAATACATCCCAGGAAGATATGTTATTATTTCAGTAATGGAATTGAAACAGGTTCAAATCTTACCAGGCTCAAGGTTGACTCAGCCTTCCATCCTTTCTAAGGTAGGTTAAATGAGGACCCAGTTTGTGGGGGCAATAAGCTGACTTTGTATAAATATACAAAAGTATGAAGGCTATTGCTTAACGCATTGTAAGCCGCCCTGAGTCTCCAGAGAAGGGCGGCATATAAATCAAATTTAAAAAAAAATGGAATTGATTTTCCATTCTGTATATCCAATATATTTAAAAACCCTCCCCAAGGTCAAAATTATCTTGGAATATGCTATGTATGAGATAATGTACTGCTCGTTGATTGTCTATCTGCAACAACAGGTACCCGTAGCAGGCATTTACCTTACTAAAAATGTAGCAATTTAAAACAAAGATAGTTAAGCATGATTGAAATACAAAGGTAAATAAATGATATACAATAATGTTGTAGTATGAAATGAGTAATAAAAGTTTGAGTAGCAGCATAACTTAATCAAGAAAAAGAAAAAAAAGATAATTTCAAGATTTATCCAGGGTGCCGAAAACTATTATAAAATATCATTTCTGGTGTTCAGCAAATGTACCCCAGAGGCCAGAATGTAATGAATTTGGATAGGAAATCCATCTATGCATTTGCTTCAAGGAGATTTGGGATTTTTCTGAGGTAATAGGGGATCTTTCATTTTTTCCATATCAAATTTGGCTCCTTTAAAAAAAAATAGGAAGAATTAGATGAACGAAGAGATATTAACTAAGTTATCTTCCCCCTCAAGTCTTAGTAATAAAGTGTCAGGAAAAGGAGGAAGGGAAAGGAAATAAGAACAATTCCAAAACATAACATAATCACTTTCATTATTAGCATCATCACTGTTGTTGTCTTCAGTGTTTTGATACAGGTGCAGAAGGGATTTGTTAAAAACTGTTAATGTTTTTTTTTCAGGGCAGCAAAACCAGTTTTATGAATGATATAAGAATTCCAACTGGACTATAAATGAACACATCGTAACAGGTTTGATGAAATACTTTTGACAGAAGATCTATCCAACCAATAATATGGAGTTTCACTGAATATACTATAGACCATCTTAGGCAACTAGAATGTTCACTGGGCTATTTTACAAAGAAGTAATATCACTACCTTCATCCCTGTCTACAAGTTATAATGATGGATTAGGTATGAGCTTCAGTTAATGTATATGATATAGGAGAAGAAATGGTTTTGCTCTCACTGCTACAATGTCTCCACCTGCTACCATCTGCTTTCAGTAAATCCCCAAATGAGTGAGATGTCCTTCTCCTGGTTAGCAAAATGTAAAAGGGATATGTTGATGGTTCAATAAGCAAGAAGGATTTTCTGGTTATGCAAAATGTATATATATAATCATGGCTAAATATTTTCAATTACAAAAGACGGAGTTTTAAAATACCTACTTTTTAAAGTAAATATATGCTTTGCATTTGTTTGCACACATTTGTGTACTTCATCAATAACGTGTAAACAGGCAATTCCATTGGAACTAAAACATTTTAATAGTTATGTTCTTTCAAATCAGCTGAAAACAGAAAATTTTTCTCAACCTACTTGCCCTTGGATTTTGTAGAATATTAAAAATCTAGATTCTAGATTCAGGTAATCGGCATGCCTTGCAGTACTGCTCTGTAGCCAAGTATGTCTACTAGAATTTGCTCATAGGCTCCTTCACCAATAAAAGCACCAAATGATATTTCATTGTCAACTCTCAGCACATTTATGCTTCCACTACTATAGATAAAATCTTATCTTTCTCATGGTCTTATATCTATAATTTCTTGTCTCTGTGAGAGAGGTGCAAACATGAACATGAAAGTCAATGCTGAACGAAGTATCCCTTTCTATATAACTATCACAGGAGATAAACAGATTTTTTTTAAAAAAATGTTTTAAAAGTCAAATTTAACTTGTGTGAAAAGCATCAAAAATAATGTAACTTTATCTTAGCTACAATATTTTCTTTACATTTGTATTTATTTATTTGAAACATTTATATAGTTGCCCATGTTATATCAAAATCTGGGAAGCTCCTAATCAACAATTAAAGCAATGTCAATTATAAAACAGCATAATACCACATTAAATCTGTTAAAACCATAAACAATAAAATCCCCGCACCAAAGTTATACTTTCAAGATTCGGTTGTTCATTTAAACTGTCTCGCTCAGCTCACCCTATTCTGGCAATTGGGGGAAAAACCAGGTCTTTAATCAGAGGTGGGCGGCACATGAATTAACAACCAGTTCGCCCCAGCACCGGAAATGTGAGTGCTCACGCGCCTTCCGCACATGTGTGCAGCCTTCTGTGCATGCGCTTTGCTCAAGTGCGTGCTTGCACGCATGCACACAGCTTAAAAAATGCAGCTAAATAGGATGGCATAGCGCTGCGCCAGGGCCATCCACAAGTCATAACTACTGGTTCGCCTGAACTAGTCCGAACCGGCAGCAGCCCACCACTGTCTTTAATGCTTTTTGGAATGCTAGTGGGGTATAGACCTGTAAAAATCCAGGAGGAAGAATGTTTAATAGGGCAGGGACTGCCACAGAAAACACATGCTTCCTAGCTACCACAAGGTGGCAATGTTTAAAGGAAGGGACTAGAATCCTGTCCACACTATCTAATCTGGTAGAAAGAGAAGATTTCTGCAGGGAAAGGCAGTCCCACAGATAACCTGACTCTGTGCCATTTAAAGGCAATAACCAGCACCTTGAATTACATTTAGAAGGAAAGTGGGAGACAGTGTAGTTCATGCAACAGAGGTGCTTTTATTATCCATTTATTTAATAAACAAATTTATATGGCCATCCAACTCTCACACAGTGATTCCAAACATCATTATAAAATTAAAAATTCACATTGCAATAACTCATAGACACTCCACCTCCTACAATGGCAATAAATACAAAATACAATCACACAAGCCATTTAACCAGTGTCAACTTAGGGTTCCCAGAACAACTGACAAAACCATGTTTCAAGGCCTTTAGGAAAAAAGATGTATTGTCAGATTTGAGTTTTTGAGGCATTGAGGCAGAAATAGCTTTTGGAGAGACTATGTGGGAAGTTGATGGCTGAGGAAAGAGTGTTGAAGTGTTCCAGTCCCTGGCCCCAGATGGAAAAAAAACCCCATCACCTGGGACCTCCCCTGGAAGTAGTGAACTGAAGACCAAACAGAAGGACATGGTTCAACCCAAGACAGATGAGGACAAAGGAAGGCAGCTGCTTGCAGAGGGATGCCTGGAGACCTCAGGGAGGGTTCATTTGGGAAGTACTGGGCAGTGGGAGGTGTCACACAACATGCATACAAAGTGATGGCTGACAAAGTTTGAAAAAATATAAATAAACGCTTTAAATACACACCAAGATAACCTCTTCTTATCTCTCTTTTATACTGAAAAACTGAGGGAGGAAGGAGGAGAAATAAGGAGGAGAGTTGGTAGCTACAAAATGGATTGGGAGGTCACTAGTAAATAGCTCTGGGAGGGAGGAAGGGAGGGAGGAAGGGAGATAAGTAGTGTTAGGGTAAGAGAAGTAGACACACATACTGTATATCTCACCTATAAAAGAACCCTCAGTCATAGATTATATTTAATAGTAGCAATTAACAGTTTTCAGGCTAACAGAGATCTTAATCAATTAATGCTCTAAATGCTGATCCAGAAATATCATCCTGGACTAGCTTAAGAAAAGATAATGTAGAACAAGCAATTAAGCCCCCTTTATGGAAGATATTGCAGAGATTGTAAGAAAAACAGATGTTTCTTAGTTAATAGATCAACTTGAAAAGAAAAAATATATTGTCCTTCTTCATTGGCAGTTGTATGAGAGACCATAGTTTGGTTAATTTTGGATAAAGAGGAAGCGGGAGACAAACTGATTATTCAGTTGAGACTCTGCTTTGCTGAAGCATTGATAGCTATTAGACTTCCTTGGAGTATTGTTTGTTTTCAAACAACAAAACAAAAGCATAATCTTTCTTCTGAATAGATTGCTAGATGCCTAAATTTTTTTCATGTGACCACAAGGCAATGTAGCAGAGGTGGTATTCAGCAGGTTCTGACCAGTTCTGGAGAACCAGTAGCTGAAATTTTGAGTAGTTTGGAGAACTGGTAAATTCCACTTCTGATTGGCCCCGCCCCCATCTATTCTCTGTCTCCCAAATCCCAGCTGATCGGGAGGGAATGGGAATTTTGTAGTAACCTTCCCCTGGAGTAGGGAGAGAATGGGGATTTATAATATCCTTTCCCTGCCACGCCCACCAAGCCACGCCCACCAAGCCATGCCATGCCATGCCATGCCCACAGAACCGGTGGAAAAAAACTTTGAAACTCACCACTGCCCTGTAGTACCTGTAACATCTGGTAGGGGTCATGTCCCTTTGTTCAGTTCTTTTAAATGGTCATGGAAAATTTAGTCATCAATCAAAGACTAGCTTTAATTATGTTTCAGGAGCAAGTAAGAGTTTCCTACAATTCTGTAGTGTGAAATGAGCAATAATGTGCATCCCTTTTGATGACTGTGGCAATGTTCAGTAGAGGTGGCATACAAATGTATTTGCTTCACTAGTTGTTGCAGATTTTCAGTCGCTAAGTCATGTCCAACTCTTCACAATTCCATGGACCACAGCATGCCAGGCCCCCCCTGTCCTCCACCATCTCTTGGACTCTGCCCAAACTCATGCCCATTGCATAGATGACATTATCTACTATTTTGTTGGGAATTTTATATTATAAGGGTAATTAATTGCAATGTGTTACTGCATATTATATTATCTTTTAAGATTTCTGTAAGACAAACTTTAATTTGGCACCTTCTTTCTATGGAAATGTGTTATAGAAATCTATAAAACAAAAGATAATACTTCCATCAAAGTGCCATTTAAGCACTTACCCCACATAAATAATACAGCATTCTCTCATGATGAGTCTCGGATTTAGGACTTAGTATATGGTTCTAAAGCACTATAACACATTAAAAAATTTTTTTCCCCTTTTCCCTCCTCCCAAAGCTATTTACCATGCTGTTATTTTGGATGGTAATATGATGTATATTAAATTAATAAATTAATTATCTAGCTAGGTGAAATAAAGATAAATCAAACAACAAAAAAGAGACAGCTATCTTTACAAGTTTATAGCAATGTGATTTCTCCTCTAGATAAGCTTCTATAAATATTTAAATAATGTTTGTTATTTAAACAAATAATATTTACATGAATGCAGTCTGGGAATTTCTCTAGTTCAGAAGCGTTGAGAGAAAACTCAGCATTTGCTTCAGTGCCTTACCATGCTGCAGAATATAAGTTTTCCTTCTTTGTAACTTGTCTACATTACTCTGGAAATCCAGGTTTTACAAAGACCGACTCCATTCAAAAGCAGTTCATTAGACTTTCAGTGAGTGGCTTTATTATCTGAGGAAGAAGCATCATTAAATAGTTTTTAATTAATGACAAAGTAAGCAAGAAATAAATTTTTCAAATCTAAAAAAATATTTAGAAATGTGCACTTAAAATTAATGCCTTTCTCCTTGTAGTTGTCTGAATATATTGCGATCCTAGGCACATTATATGCATTGTAAGTTAAAATGATATTGCTTCCAATGTCAACATTACTTCTTTCAACATTTGCAAGATCCAGGGAAGAGACAAATACAGATGGAGCAAAATATGTTGAATTAAAGATATGAGGACAAACTTCTAGTTTTGAGTATATAGTTTCTGTTGACGCTGTACTGTATTTGTTCAGGAAAAGATAGAGTCTGTCCATTGGGACTTAAGTATAGTTAGGAATGCAGCTTTAATTACCTATTCCTGGACATAGAGAAACCAGTTAGCCTCTTCCGAATAGCTTGTTCAGGAATATATTCTTTAGTGATCAATTGGATAATTCAAGTAAATAAACTGTGAGGTTCAGTTTTCCAACAATTACAAATATATCATTTAGAATATAAATAATAAAATATAAATTGTTAGCCCTTGCTTTATTAGATGTACAAAAAAAAAAGAAGTACAGAACATTTAATCAAAAAATGGAAAGAGGATGTAGAAGGAAGAAAAAACACAAATAGATACAAAGGATAAAATTAATGATTTTTCTACTTCATATAAAGTATTTATTGTAGAATATGTCCAGAAGTAAAAATTA